TCCACCTTCTCCTTCTCCTTCTCCCCCCTCCCTCCCTCCCTTTCTCTCCTCCTCCTCCAGTTCCTGTCAGATACGGCCAAGTGCTGGGAGCCATAATCGGAGGTGTGTTGGCTGTGGTCTTAGTAGTCCTGCTGATAGCTTATCTCATCAGGTACTGCTGGCTGAGGAGACAAGCCACCCTCCAGAGGCGGCTCAGGTACATCCACGAAGGGTGGGAGCGATTCATGCCCTCCTGGGCTCCCATCCACCTATTCCTGTCTTGCTAAACATCCTGTCTTGCTCAAATTCTCCATTCGAGATCCCTTTCTCTCTCCAGCCCGTTGCCTTCCGGAGTTGGGGGATGCCAACCGCCCCCATGCCAGTCCTGGGTAGCTGGCTGGGGGATGATGGGAGTTGTAGTCCCGCATCTCTGGAGGGCCTCAGGTTGTGAACAGCTGCCCCAGCCTTTGCTGGAGTTCCTCTGCTTTGCAAGGCAAGAGCGTTTCTTCCCAACACAACAGCTGGGGGCTGCCCTAATCTCACGACAAAGCCTTGTCACTCCCACTGCATTGCAAACCCGAGCACCAAGCCCACCCCGCGCACACGTACAGCGGCAAGGGCAGGTGCAAAGAAAGGAAAGCAGCACGCTTCCACGTTTGCAATGGCTTTTTTAAATCCAGTAATTGCTTGGGTGCATCTGCACAGAAACAGAGTTTTGCAAGAACTGGGTGTTTATGCATCGACCTGCTCCTGCCCCAGCCCCCACCCCAGGCACATTTGGCCCTTCCGGTGGCCAGATCCAAACTGGGCAGTCAATTCCACGGAGTTTCCCTTCTCTTGTAAATTTCAGATGCAGATCCCCGCCGATCCACCCCCTCACCGGATCATTCCCTTCTTGTCTGTTTCACCCGAGCCGTGCACCGCCTTGCTCACTTTTTCCCGGTTCTCGCACCACCGTGTGCTTTCCTTAGCAGCCGCATGCGAATTAAACGTGGCTCTTGGCGGTGCATGAAAGCTGCAGTGGCACAAAAAGCACCAGTTTTGGGGAGGGGAGGGGAAACCCAGCTTCTTCAAGAAAAATAGCATGAAATGGAAACGTGCCCCACTTCCTGAAATGAGGCCAAGACTTTTCACCCAAGTCTGGTTCTACCTTTACACTCTTTAGCACAACCTAAGTTGAGTTTCAAGGCTTTTTCGCTCCCCACATCTAGCGGCTTCCCGGTTCAGACCCTTGCTCCCCAACTTCCAGTCCTTGGGCATCAACGCACCTCTCTCTTTTTATCTCCACTTAGCGCTATGGAGAAAGGGAAACTGAGGCTCGGCAAGGATTCTTCCAAAAGACGCCATCAGGTGAGTCTTCGAGAGGGCGAGCAAGAAGCGAGGGGGGAATAAAGGGCCAAGAAGTCATGATCACAGTGGGGTTGATCCTACAAATGCCAGGCTGTTTGGAAGCCACAGAGATGGAGGAAGGGAGGGAGAAGATTTAGGGTGGAGAGAAAAACCAGACCCCACAAACCGTAGTGAGTTTCAGAGGAAGAGAAGGAACAGGATGAAAAATGGAGACCGGCATGTCTGTCTCTCTCATGGCTAACGTAGACTGTTGCCTCTGTCGAAACTCAGAAACGTTTTCTTTTTTCCATCTCCTTTTCCCTTCGTCTCTTCCTTTTTTCCTTTTCCGCATTTCTGTCCCTATATTCATTTCTTTGAATGTATTTCTTATTCTGTAGGGCAAACTTTTTCATAAAAATGATTTAAAAAGGAAAGGAAAAATGGAGACAGGTCATGAAAAAGGGGGTGGCTTCATCGGGGTGCAAAAGTCCCGTTAGTCCAGATTAATCCTGGAAAACTCTACCCCAGCCTTCTCCAAGTGGCCGTTGTCCAAAAACACTGGCTTCGGGGGAAGCAAATATTACGGCTCGTGACGACAGCCGGTGAAGTCCACGGACATAGCTTAATTCCCTTTTTTTTTTCTTAAATCCAAGGGCAGGAAAAGCCAAGCAGAAACTGTTCTTTCATTAGTCCTTGCTTGCCAAAAAACAGGCCCGCATTATTACATTGTAGCTGGCTGGCTCTCAAGGATGATGTCTGCAATTGCCAGCAGAAAACAGCAGGGTCAGCTGGCCTGTTTTTTGCTGGCAAGCAAGGAAGGAGAGGTGCTTTGGGTTTGGGGGAACATGGGCAGAAATGTCACGATGCAAGCCCCATGTCCTGGGGATGACACAACGCAGGCACATGAAGGAGGGGCCATGGGTTGCAACATAGTCTAGGGTTAGGTCTCTTCCGCCCCTGGCCAGTCTCCATTCTCATGGGCCAATCTTCTCTTCTTTTCTTACGCCTCCCGGTAGACTCCTGTCCTGTACGCCATGCTGGACCACAGCCGCCTGACCAAATCCAGCGAGAAGAAATCCAGGGGAGGCCTGGGAGACTCGCGCAAAGATAAGAAATAGCGGTTAGCCGGCAGAGAAGGTATCGAGAAGAAGGCGGGCAAGAAGCAGGTCGTCATGACCATCGAGATGGAACTGAAGAGGGACCAACTCGAGGCTGAGGGCCTCAAGCCTGCCGTCAAATCCCCCAGCAAGAACAGCCTCAAAAACGCTCTCATGAATATCATTAAAAGCGATTCGGCCAAGTAATTCGAACGCAGAGCCTTTCCTAGCCCTCCTCTTTCTGTTGAGGCTGGGAGGTCACTCATTCCTCCACCCAGTCCTCGTGGCTTTGCTAGGGCAGCCAGATCTGGGCTGCAGTACTTCAGGCGGCCACGTGGTGGCCTCAAGGAGTCGTTTTGGGGCCATCTGCTGCCACCTGCTGGCCGTTTGGAAAACCGCAGCCCAGCCAGGATAGCCCTAATCCTCCTGCAATGGAGCGTTTCTCAACCTTATCAACTTTAAAAAGTGTGGACTTCAGCGCCCAGAAATCTGGCTGGCGAATTCTGGGCGTTGACGTCCACGCTTCTTAAAGTTGCTGAGGTTGAGAAACACGGCTCAAAGGCATTAACTAGTCCTGAACTAATTCAGTGACTATCTCTACTGCTGCAGTAATCTTTCTAATCAGGGGCTGATGGCATCTGGCATCGTCCTGCCCGCCATAAAGTGGCTGAAATCCATCTTTGTTCCTGCAACTTTGGGGAGGGAGTCTTGGTTTGCACGGCTAAGAAAGCAAGGGTTAAGCCGAAAATCCAACAGGTGATTCCTCCTCCATATTTCAGTTTCTTCTGTTACGGATGTCCAGAAACAGACTTTGGTTTTCCCGATCTGCTACGAACCAATGTTTCGTGCTAGTGCTTCCCACACTTCTGACGGGCCCCAAACTCACCAACTCACCCTCGGGTCTACTGCACGTAGAGAGCGGATCACAAAACGTACAGGACGTTTGTTCTTCTCACTCCCCTTTTCTCGGAAAGGGAAATTTCCCCCAGGAATTTCCATCAGCCCCTCGCCCCCGTCCATCGCCACGAGGATAAGCAAGCTGGGTGTCCTATCGTTTTAACCATCCCCATTCTTCTAAATTGGCCAGAAAGATGCATAATTCTCCCCAAAAGATACCTTCGTCTGCTCCAACGGCTGTGACCCTCTTCCGCTCCATGACTGGAGCACAGATGTAATTTTTCTTTTTTTCTCTCGTTTTTTAATCCAACGACCAGATTATAGTCTGTGCGTCTCAGAGACTCAGAAAGATGGTTTAATGCCCCCCAGACGGTGATTCTGGCCAGAAGAGGCAGAAACATTTTGCTTTCTTTCTCCACAATCACAGGAGCTAGGATCCTCAACTAAGCAAAAGAAGAAATAACTTTTTTTTTTAAATGCCATCAACACTTCTGTTGCTCTCCCTTACCCCAAGAGTCCTGATCCTAAAGAGATGTTCATGTTATGACGTGAGCATAAGAGTTCGTTTTAGGCCAATTCAGAGTCTCCTGCTTGAGCAAAGCATCTGAGAGATTTCAGGGGAAATGGGGGGGGGGGATTGCTAAGTTGACCCCTGAAATTTCTCAGGGGGGGGGTTTTGCTCATCCCACGAGGCTGCCAAATTTTGCCCGCCACGAAACTCTCCTCTCCTCGCCTTGCAAAGAGTTCTCTTGGAGCAAACAAGCTTTGTATCTTTTGCCTCCGCTTCCAATCCGGGGGGGAAAAAAATTGCAGACAATGTTCTGCCCATTTCCCCCCAGTCTGTTTCAGCAGACGAATCTTCCAGCGTGGGCTTTCTCCCACTTTACATTTCTGCTCTTAATTGTTTGACATCTCCAGCACGTCCTCTGGGAGGAATTAAACCATCTCTTGACAGCGATGAAACCTCGCCGTATGATCTTCAATCTGGAGGAGGGTGGCTGCGGTGAATTTCATGATTAACCCGCGAATATATTATATTGAGTTTCCCTCCTCGCTTTTCCCTGCCCTGTGACTGAACCGTACATGACGTTACGTGGGTAGTCTTCCTATCAAGGCCTTGGTCTTTCCCCTTTCCTCTGCTCTTGTTTCTGTTTTTACTCTGTTCAGATTAACTTCTAGGACAACATGTTCCATCGCTAGACGAAAAGCCCAAGTCAGCCCCCCCATCATATCATTTTGCTAGCAAACACACTCCTGTTGAAAGACAAGCTTCATTTCATCTCCTGCTTTGGTCTGTCCATTTTACGTCACTTTCTACCCAGTTTCTGTTCTGGCTCCATCAACCTCTTTCTTGCCGTCAATCTCCCAGCATCAACTTACGGTGCTGCAGAAATGTATATAGCAGACGATTCCTGTAGACATACCCACACAATTCTGTGTAGCACATGTTGTCATGAGTAGTCCTAGAAAACTAAACTGCATTTTAAAAAAAAACACAGACACAAATGTCTTCTGTGTTGGTGTGTCTCATTTCCTCTGTGCAGAGTTGGGGCTTTCTCAACTCTGCGTCCTTCTTCCAATCAGCAGCGGCAGCCAAAAACAAGTGACGTAATTTAAAAAATTGTTAATAAAAAGACTGACATTTCTGTATAGAGCTGGTTTTCCTGTGGTCTGTGATCCTGATGGTAAAGAGGGAGTGATTAAAGGAAAGGGGTCGGCAACGCGCGGACACCTGGCAAAATCAGGCGAGTCACTTGGCCCAAAGTAGGAGGAGAAAAATATACACTATTGCCAATCAGCTGATCAAAGTATACTTTGGGATTTACCTATAATTTCTCATGTTTCGCCCAGGCTTCTTCTATTCATCCTATCTGTAAGGTTTTGTATTCTTTAAAATCAAAGCTTGGCAAAATCTGTTTATCTATCACCCCAAATCACTCTGAAAAAGAAAAGGGGTTGTATACGAACCAAAGCCACTCTTTTCATAGCGTTTCTACAGCAGTCCAAAAAAGCTTCACCTTTTCATCAACCTGGTTTGTCCGTTACACTGTGCCAAACGGTGGCTTGATGATGGACAGAACCAATCCAAGAAAGAGAATATGGCTCTTTGGGAGTTGACAAACCCCTCAAAACTGGGATTCTTCCTGATTTTGTTTCATGTCCTGCACGCTTCTTTGACATGCTGAAGACGAAATGGAGAGAAAATAGATCAGACGTTAGCCGAAAAAACCATGACGGCTTCACTTGTCCACCTGGATAAATTCATTTATTTATTTGCAGGAGTTATAGGAGTTATAGGTCACCCTGATCAAGCGACTCTGAGCAGCAATGGAGTCCTGAGGGTGTAACTGGCATTGAAACAACAAGTCAAGAAACAAAAAATAATATATTAGAACTGTGTTTCTCAACCTTGGCAACTTGAAGATGGGTGGACTTCAGCTCCCAGAATGCCCCAGCCATACACACACACACACACACACGTGTGCAAAACAGGGACATAGAAATCTGCAAATAGAAGCTGCGTGAAAAGTTCAGAGGAAGAGACGAATGGAAGCCAAAGATCAAAAGCAAACAGATTTTCCCCTGATTATTTTATTAACATGCTACACGTGTCAATCTTCAAAGCAGGTCAGTCGGTACCTATGGTGACATATCTTTCATAGAGATACTTTACAATATTTATTATGAATTTTGCCTCCACGACCACTGGAATGGCTGAGAGGCAGCAACGTGGGAAAAAGTACAGGTGACCTTCAGGATTTAGATTTAGGGGTTTTTTTTCCCCTTGGCTCATGAGAAGCTGGGCCCTGAGGTGGGGGAGCATGGCTTCTGGAACAAGCAGCCCTTTCTTTGGGTGAACAGACAGAAGAATCGGGGTGCCGAGATCTCCGGACACCGTCGGATGGACGCCAAGTTTGGGAACAACGCTCAGATGTTCCCTTGGCAAAGGATGGCTTAAGTAGCTTGAGGCTGACTTTTCCAAAAGCGTGTCTTACTCGCAGAAAGTGTCGTGGGAGGGAGCCAGACCTTTCCCAATGATGCTCAACATTTCACAATCAGTGCAAAAGATTTCCTTTGGCATGATGTCGGCTCTCCGTGAAAGCGGGATCCCACCGTGGAAGCAAAAAGAGATCCCCCCCCCCCCCCTAGGTTGGAATCACTAAGACTTGACTTGCAATTTTCAAAATAGGGCATCCGGGTTTTTGTTCAGAATATTAAGCGAGCTCCCACCTCATCGGGCCGGAAGCTCTTCGAATAGATTTGCCAGGTTTTGAATTCCGCCTCGGTGGGGCCGGGAAGGAGAATTGTGGCCAAGACACGAGGACCCGGCAAGCCCAGAACGGTTTAAAATCCGTGGCTTGCAAGCGGAACGTTTCCTCTTTGGCAATTTTACAAGGGGTCTTTGGCGGGCAAGGTTGGCACCCCGAGGAGTCGGACTTCCCAGCGAGGCATTAAGCACTTTCCAAGGGCCAACTTGGGGGGGGGGGGAATAGCCTCTTTTCAGCACGGCATCTTCTCTGCCAAGGTGAAGAGGGTGGCACCGGAGAGCTGCCAACAGGAATTGCACTCCCGGTCTCCAAATGGGGAGTCTAAAAGGTCAACCCTCCATTTATAGAGCAGCAACCCCTGCCCCCCCGATGATAGATGGGAGGAAAAACGGGATGGAGAAATTGGTTCGAATGATGCCACTATTCTATTCGTCCTGGTCCATGGTTCTCACCTATAGCTACATCTGTCCCTCTGCCCATCATCAGCGGCTTCGTGTGGAAGGCCCCTTCCACCCGCCCCCTCCCCTCCCCACCATTGCTTTGACCGTTTTTACAGTACAGTACGTGCAAAAAGAAATAAATGAACAAAGAGAAGAGAAGAGCAGAGCAGAGCAGAGCAGAGGCCCCGCTTGCTTGGGGATGGGAAGCGAGGGGGGACATGGAGTTGCACCGGATCTGGGGATGGGAGGGAAGACGAGGTCAAGGCGAGGTGGGAAGGCGCCGGAGAAACTCAGGAACTGGGGTCCTGTTTCCGTTTCTGGAAACGTCTAAACTTGCCCTGGATGGCCAGGGCGGCTTTCTCCGTTTCTGGAGCATTCAGGTCGATATCTATTTCTTCCTCTTCGGCATCTGTTTTCTTGGCGTTTTCAGCTTTGTCTGCAGGGAGAAAGCGAAGCGGGGCAATCTTTCAGCACCGTGGCAAATGGACGTTTAGACCCACCAAAAAAGATAAGTCAAATAGTTTTGATTTTTTTCCCCACCCCTTTCTTTTAATTAAGCAAAATTTGGTGATTAGATTGAGCACCGAGCGTAGGAGGGGTGGGTGAAAATTGCAGGGTTATTCAGGGGGAAGAAATAGTGTTGTCTGTTTAAAGATGGCTCCATTCATTCAACGTGCTTAACCTGGTGGGTTTTAACCTTGCATTTTGGGCGGGTCGGCTTCTGCTTCAACGTATTGTCCAAATTCAGAAAATGGGTTTATTCAGGAACCAGATTCAGCATGTTAGGGGTTTGGTTATCAGCGTTTTAGATTTGCATTTTATCTAGACATTTGCTGCAGTACCTCTGGTTTTTTTATGCAGGATCTGTGATTCTCACGCCTTTACACGACGCTGTTGCGGAGATCAAACACCGCCGTGCCAGCTGGACTTCAACTCCCAGCATCCTCGGCGGCGATGGTTGCAGCCGGGAATGTCTTCCCCCGGAAAGTCACTCCCCTTTTGCAATGTTTTACTTACCAAGCTCCAGGGTCCAACTGCAGTCCAAAAAGGAAGCCCAGTTGCCCACCCCCCCATCACCAAAAGACATGCAGATTTAAAAAACGAGTCCTTTTTATGCTTGGACGAGAGTGCAAATGTTGCAGAGGGGACCCGGGTTGCTGGGCCTTGTGTTAACTTAGAAGTAGGCACGGTAACCTAGCAACCAGAAGCGGACAACCGCCTATAATGGAAAGGCAGAGAGCATCACGGCTTTCAGGTTGCCTAGCAACCAGGATCCAATGAGGTCAGAGAGCATCCTCTCTCTCTCTCTCTCCCTCAGTGTT